CAGATTGTTGAATCGTGAATGTGCACATGTGTATAACAATAATATTTTGTCTGGTTTTAAATTACTGATCGTAAAATCAATATTTATACCAATAAAACAATATTCAAAGCGCTAATTACAGTGTTGAATTGTTAACCTTTAAGCTTTAAGAATAAGTTTATGGAAAGGATTGATAAGTTTACCTATTATCTAAATTTCCGGGCTCGGTAAACAGCATTCCCATAAAAATTAGGATGTGCTACTCCTTTTGAAATAAGTTTTCTACAGGTACAACTAAACTTGCAATCCAAATATTTGTATCTATGGAAGAATTTAGTAAAGTAATTTGTGGTAACGAAATCCCCGACTTAATAATTTACCAGTAATTCATAGATTACGGTTGTTTGAAATCCAAAACGCCACTTCAGACACGGGCATAGCGAATGAGTTGTGGTATATAAACACCATAAGACGGTGTCAAGGGAAACTTAATAATAGGGAAAGAAAAATCGTCCCTTTTGTCGTAAATATTTGTGTAGAGTTTCTCGTGTAAAACTGAAATATCTAAATCTAGAAAATGACAGTTATTGCTGTCAATATTTGAAAAATTTTCTAAATATACTACCAAAATTTACCCAAAGGAACTTACTTTATATTAAAAAAAATCTCATCAAGATAACGGTAAGTGTTGTTGAATTTATCAAGTAAATCGAATTTAGGCTGACTTCATACAGGACCTTCTTAGGCAGAAAGAAAGGAAGTTAGCAGTATCCTTTAACTTTACTTTCCGCTATAAAGATGATATTCTCTCACTAAATAATTCAAAATTTGGTGACTATGTTTAACGAATCTATCCCATCGAATAAAGGATACAACAGATACTGTTAAGTCTGCCTCATATCTTGACTTTCATCTAGAAATTGACAATGAGGGTCGGTTGAAAACAAAACTTTACGACAAAAGAGATGATTTCAGCTTCCCAATTGTGAACTTTCCATTTCTATGTAGCAACATTCCAGCAGCGCTTGCATACGGATTATATATCTCCCAGTTGATACTATATTCCAGGGATTGTATTTCCTATCATGATTTCCTTGATAGAGAATTGCTGCTCACAAGGAAGCTGTTAAACCAAGAGTTCTAAGTGTTGAAGTTGAAATCATCCCTTCGTAAATTTTACGGACGCCATCACGAGTTGTTTGACCGTTATGGATTATCCGTTTCACAGATGATAGCGGATATGTTCCAAATGTCGTAACTACAATCCCGTCCCATTTTCCCCGAATGTGACCTACCGATTTAGACTTATTACAGGGTTTGTACAAACATTAGCAACACGATGGGTGCCACATGTGGAGCAGGATCTGCATACTCTTCTTGAGTACCTGAGATCACCCCCAGTTTTTGGTGGGGTTCGTGTTGCTCAGTCTTTAGTTTTCTATGTTGTGTTTTGTGTACTATTGTTTGTCTGTTGGTCTTTTTCTTTTTTAGCCATGGCGTTGTCAGTTTATTTTCCACTTATGAGTTTTGAGTGTCCCTTTGGTATCATTCGCCTCTCTCTTAGACGAGTCTTTACTGAGTTTGGCCATAAACTGTGATTCATAACAGTACAGGAACAAGTCTGCTTATAAATTTGCAATCAGATTTATCAAAGACCATTTAATTAAATAAGAAAGGTTTTGTTTGATAAGATTGTTTTGAAGTGTAGTAAAAAGAGTAGAAAAGTCAAAACTGTCAACCGAATCACAAAGACCATCAAAAGCAAGTATTTTTTCTAAAACATCCAAACACTAAAAACATAGTTAATTCCACTATTTTCATATGTTTTATTACAAAAGTTATAGATGATAAGTTCTTTGACAGTAGTTAAAGAACTCGATAAAAACACTTATAGATAAGTAGTAGAACATTTACTAGAGGCCGAGACGAAACGATATTTTACGGTTGTTTTGTACTGAGCTGTGGTAGTGACATGATTATTTACTATTTGACTCTTTATGGAGTTTGGAATGTGGCGTTAATAATCTGAAATATATCAAATTGTCTTTCATCAAACTCTCGTTTTTGAAAAAAAATTATGATAAAGGAATCCTTTCTCAACATTACTTGTTTGAAAGTCTTTATGGTTTGAAGGAGAACAAATATATAATCTGTCAAAAAAAATCAATTAGATGTATCGATATAACATAAATGTCCCTGTCTCAAATGTCAAACCTTGAACAGTAGGGGAAAGTATGTCCCAAATCAGGAGCCTCTAGCCTTTGCTAGTCTTGTATTATTTTTTAATTTTAGTTTCTTGTGTACAATTTGGAGTTTAGTATGGCGTTCATTATCACTGAACTAGTATATATATTTGTTTAGGGGCCAGCTGAAGGACGCCTCCGGGTGCGGGAATTTCTCGCTGCATTGATGACCTGTTGGTGACCTTCTGCTGTTGTCTGTTCTATGGTCGGGTTGTTGTCTCTTTGACACATTCCCCATTTCCATTCTCAATTTTACTCTATATCCAAGCTTGACAAATCTCTTACTTTCGACCATGATTAATAGTATGACACGGCATTGATTTCTGTCACAGTGTGAATATAGTTATAGAACAAATAGTTCCCCCAAAAAATATCCAGGTCTTATTTCTATGAAGTTTTCATAGTCCAATGCCCATACTTTCGTTAAAATCAGCATGATTGCCAATGAGTCAACTATCCACCAAAGTCAAAATGAAGTGGATGAAAGCAATTATAGGCAACCATACGGACTTCAACAATAAGAAAACCCATATCAAGAAAGCATTGAAAAGGTGCAACGTATAAAAACAGAATAGGGAACGAATATGTAAAAGGGTATCAGTCGAGCGTGGAGACGGGTACATACACGCCAAGAGTGTAATTTCACCTCACCAAACCCATAACTAACACTAGAGACAAGAAAAGAAAAGAAAAGAAAGAAAGAAAGCATTAACAAGTTTAACCTTTCTTCGCACTATCATAAATTACGTCAACAAATTTTTGATCGGGTCTTGAATAAAATACTGTAATTATATTCCTTATCTGTCGTATTTGATATTTCCGCCTGTCTGGTACATGTTCCCGATTCTATATTTCAATGTAGCCAATAGAACCTTAGCCAAATCATAATACAGTCAGAATCGATATATGTTAAGTAATGATATCAAGATGGCGTGAATACCGAATGAAATATATAGCTTCACACAGTGGTACGAAGCAAACAGATTGAGCATTCATTTATCTTTATCACTTCAACATTACCAACTAATCAAAATTAACTGCCTGGGCTTATTTATTAATATAAATTTGACGCGACATTATATAGCAAGGTAAACCAGTAAAGGCAAAATTATTCTTAAATCAGGTATCGGATCGGATCTTGAAAGCCCATACTGAAACTTTTCTGTATACTGTGTCTTCTCCTGTCCGGGACATGTTCCCAATTCTATATCCCATTCTAGCCAATACAATCTTTCAAAATTCATAAGGCAACCAATTAGAACCTATAGTTGTTACGTAATAATTCCAAGATGGCGTGAATGCCGTATGAAACTAATAGATTCGAACCGTGATGAGAAGCAAAACGGTGCAACGAATAAGTAACAGGGTATCAATCGATAGCAGAAACGGGTCCATACGCGCTAACAAGGTTATTTAACCACATCGAACACATTACTATCACCAGAGTCAAGAAAAGAAAAGATAGCATTAAAAGGGGACAACATATTTAAAGCGAATAAATTACAGGGTATCAGTCGAGCGCGGAAACAGGTATATATGCATCGAAGAACTTAGAACTGACATCGAACAGACGAAAACAGAAATGGATAAAACATCAAAAAAGCAAGTTATTAAAACCCGATAGTCTAACGTTAAGACAGTAAAGACGTTTTACAGAATGATTTCGCCCTGAAATAGGTTAATTTGTGGTTGGCACACTCTTCTCTTTCAAATCTCATACATGTCATAAAGTCAATATCCCATACATGTCATTAAGTCGTTAAAATTAAGAAAAGGGATAATCAAAGCATAGAATGTTAACATAAAAGGTAATAAAAAACACAACGAAAAACTACCGAATATGGAAAAAGTATCCAACTTGACGACCCTCTCAACTCTTCAACTTTTAATCGGGATTGTTGCATAAACACATACAATAAAAATAATTACATGAAAATCATTTAATTCTTAAATATCGATAATTTAAACAAATTTATAATCAATATCATGCCGTATCAAAGGATGCACACAGATTTTGAAAGCAAGTTGAACGTAGCTGCAACCATATGCAATCAAAGAACAAATTTTAACGAATTCCAACGCTGAAAAAAGTTTAAGTACTGCTCTAAACTTGCAAATTTAAAACAAACAGTATAATTATGACCGTTTTCAATAAGTCTGTAAATTTAAAGAGAAGATTTGAAGGACAATTCATAAATTGTTTTTTTTTTCTTTAAAAATAGTATTACTATAGAATGTTTGATGCGATATATTAACCCTGCAAGTGGAATCATACGTCCACAATAAATCTCTATATTTGTGATAAATTTTAGTAAACGTTTTTACCAATTTATGATATCTTTATCCCTGCTGTTGCCGTTCGTTTGTAAAGAACAAAAAAAAGTTTCTTTATACGCCATTAATTAAAACGGTGACTATCAAAATAGCACTCTTTTGTTGGAGAAAATGTTTGTTGTATTATATTGATAAACGATACACTACACTGATAAACAATATACTTAAATTTAGAGACTAAAAATTGTATTTAAATATTTAGCACAAAAAGATCTATTGGTATAAAGTGTTATTTTTTTATGAATATAAGATTTATCTTGCAGTGCATCTCATTTGTTCATTATATTATCATTTCCAGGAAGTTAATGATTTGTGATATTTTTTTAGATTGTATCGTGTGTTTTATTTGTTTTTATTTTACAATGTTGTCAGGTGATAACCAAATATTGTTGCTGAAACATTATGAACTAATTTGATAAATGACCGTCTTCGATAGATTCCCATTTGGCAAGTTAATTAACCAGTCTAAAGCTTTCACATGTTTCGCGGTTGTTCTTCCTGACTTAAAGACAGTTTAAACGCGATATCGACAGTTAACGATACCAGTGGAGAACGCTGCAGTTGATCGATATGTGTCGGAAAGAATTGTTGTAAAACATTTAGTCATTGACAGAAAATGAATGTACAATAGAACGTTTTACGACATATACACGTCAGATAATTCAAAAAGTTACAGAGAATTCATAAGATCTTTTTAAATTGGATGAATGCAGGAAAAAAGTGACAATGAGTTACATAAGGTAGGACCATTATATATATATATTTTTTTTTTTTTTTTCTTGTGTTTATATTCAAAGTTTTCTGTCGATCAGACAATGAAATATTTTATTGATAATATGTTTATAACAGCATGTAATAGAACATTTAAGGAGAAATTGACGATGACATGATATATAGGGATAATGAAGAACTTGAAGATATAGGTACTTGGGGTTGACAGCATTCCAACCTTGTAATGGTTCTATTTTGTACATATAAGTTACTGTTTTTTGGTTTTACAGTAAAACTGCAAAAGTGAAATTAAAATCCCTGACATTTTTGCACCATTTCGAATTTCGATGTCACTTTAGAATTTCTTACAATACAAATACAATTTTAAGTGGTGCTAAAAGCTTTCATGCAACACCAATCCCGTTTTGAAGCGTTGTTTAAAAACATGTTCGAATCGTAATGAAATTTCATTTTCAGTCAATTTTTTTCTTCAAAATGCTACTGTTTTCCAATCAGGTGCATTTAACCTTGTGAAAAGATACATGTATTTGTAATAAGAAAAAAGTTAGAGAAAACCATGTATATAAACGAAAACAGCGCCCAGTACAATGTATATGGTTGTTTGCTTGTGTTATTAAGCGAATGGATAATCTTAATATAAAATTAAGGAGATGTGGTATGATTGCCAATAAGACAACTATCCACAAAGTTCGAATGAAGTGAATGTAAGCAATTATGGGCAACCGTACAATTTGACTTAAGATGATTCGATCACTGTGTTTAGGCAATTTTTCTTAGTATGTCTTACTTGACTTGACAAAACTGGACATAGAATTGAGTAGTGGACGAAACATTGAACAGTCTGTCTCACAAGACGAATGTCGGGCGCACTGTAGCCTATAAGTCTTAGCCTGCACGTTTCCAACGAAACGTGACTGTGTTGGTCTGATATATGATTTTCATTTTCCATTTGTTACGGAAGTTAGTGTTCATTTTTTCTGTGTTTGTCAATAATTTTTGGAGTTTTTTTTTATACGATTGAGCTCTAGTTAATTACATTTTTTTTTTTTTCTGACATTGCATCCTCTAGATCTCGTACATCTTGTTTTTTAAAAATAGTATGTGCAATGCGTTTTTTAAGCTAATATTGATTGATTGCTGGTTGCTTAACGTCCAGTGGTAACTATTTCATGCGAATTTGTACACCCCGCACAGTCAAACGGACGCCCCACTTTGGCGAGGGTTTTACTGCCGGTTGGAGGAAGACCAATGTTGACCATATTTCTATTCCACAGTCACCTTTGGGGGTTTTATGATCATCAATTTTTCAAAAACAATGATAATGAAGAGATACAGATGTCGATGTTCTGTAACCACCAGGTCCTGCTACCTGAGGAGCGCATATGATCTGATTTAATGCTTAGAATTATCTCAATCGCGAGTTATCAAATACCTTAATGAAACAAATGCAAAATTCAAGTATCTTTTCCTGGAAATTCTTCAACGTTTTAAAGAAGGGGGGATGTAGTATTTGGTTAGTAGCATCATGAATTACAGTGAAAGGTGTTCAACTTTTTGCTATCTCGTTACTGTACAATACTGTACAACATTGGTTAGAGGTATAAGGGGAAGGGTGGAGATCTCATAAAACATGTTTATCCCTTCGTATTTTTGCACCTGTCCTAAGTCAAGAACCTCTAGCCTTTGTTGGTCGTTTGTATTTTTTAATTTTGGTTCGCTTGAATGTTTTGGAGTGAAGTGTGGTACCCATTTTGCTAAACTAGACTGCAATGTTGTTTAGGGGCCACTTGAAGACCGCCTCCGGGTGTGGGATTTTCTCGCTGCGTTGAAGACCCATTGGTTGCCTGGGCTGTTTTCTGCTCTTTGGTCGGATTGTCTGTTTGACATATTCGCCGTTTCATTTCTATGTTCTTACCATTGAATTCACAAATCTTTGAATCTTTTATTGTATTTCAATACTAGAACTTCTCGATATAAATCGTGGTTTAAGCTTTAAATGTGCAAATAGTGTTTTCTTAAAAACTTATTTAAGCGTACTAGAATACGTTTATTTATGTTTTAACGCTTGAAGTAATGGAACATGTCTTTCCTTCTTAATGCGTCTGAAGTTGTCATTTTTCAAAAGATACAAATTTATCTCGTGGAATTTGTATGCAAGGTTCCCAGGAGATACGTTAATAAAGAATATTGCACTTGAATTAGTACTAGCGTTTCAAATATCATTGTACTTGAACATAAAGTTAATGAAATGCTTTGGTTCATGTACTTTTAACGTTAGTGTATACCTTCCATCAACCGATTTTAAACATACAAACCGTTACCGCTTGGATAAACCTGTAACTTAGGACAAGCTGTTTCCCGGGTAAAAAATTAATTGCTATAATATTACTCAATACACTTATATAACTTGTTCTTTGGTAGAATTCAAGATGAAATAACGATTAAAAAAAATGAGGCAACTTTTAAGATAAACAAAATTAATTCAAAATATATTTTCTTTTTTTTTTGTACTTATTCATTCATTTTGGTTTCGTATTGTGATCTTATAATACAGTAAAATTAGTATCGTTAATGTTATCATTAAAGCAGATGCCAGGGTAACATTATTCATAGTCTACTTGGCACTTTGAAACAAGTTGGAATACAAATAAGATGCGAAAATTACGAATAACGTGTAATAAAGATTGTCTTACTTGTTTAATGGTTTATTCATTTGACATTGTTTGTTTTTAAAAGCTGAAGCATATTACTTCTATCCTTATGTACATTAGACCTTATTCATAAGGTCTATATTTCAACTAAACCATTTACCATCAGTTTTATTCCGGATTATATTAATATTCAAAAGGTCTTTTTCAAAATAACTCCGATGTCATTTCAAAGGGATTTTGTCGCAAAAGAAACGAGGAAAGCTAAAAACTACATGTTATTTAAGACTTTTGATTTATTTTATTGTTAACGAAATGTCGGAGCATTAATACATGTAGTCTTTAATGAAGGCTTTAACATACATGTAGTAGTTGAACTGTTATCTTTTTTATTTACATTTGTAAAACTTAATTTGCCATAATTATGCAGTTCTATTAAATAAAGAGTCTGACATAAACATATCAGAATGCATAATATCAATATGGAACCATATATATGATATGATATGTGCTTCATCCACTATCTGCAAAAAGTTTTGTTTATACATAGTACAAATGTAGTGTTGCATCTACTTATGTTTGTTCTTGCGTATGCGCAACACGGCAGGGGAGATTGACTACTTGTTTTATAATGGGTCTGGATAGGGATCTTAGTTGCTTAAATTGTTAGGCTTTTTCTTTACTTTGTTATCCTTTAGTCTCTAGCTATTCTTTAGTATGTTGCCCATTATTCATTGTTCTGTTAACCATATTCAGACCATCATACAATGTATCTCGAAATAGGGAGAGTTACTGGCTCTCAAAAATATTGTTTAATCCCACCATCTGTATATGTACCTGTCCAAAAGAAGGATTTTAGTGAGTGTAACTTACTCCTCATATTATTGTTAGCTGAGAAAACGTCAAATGTTGAATTGATTTACAGTTTGTCTCAACTCGTGTTGATTTAGAACTTGACACATTGTGCAGTAGCCTTGGATCCTGGTCAAAGCTCCTCTTTGCGTCAATTTACTGTCAAGCGGTGAGTCAGGATCCCAGGCTAGCTGTGCAGACGTTTGTCAAACTTGTGTTGATTCAAAACATGGCACAACGTGCAGACATTTGTCCATTGTGAATTTAAGACGGCATGGTGATGATATGCTTGCATCATTTTAAGGACTGTCCGCACATGTTTCACTGACTAATTGCATGTTAGTTTTCGTTTCTAAAAATCATGCAATTGTTATAATGCTAAGGTTACAAATCCATCCGTCAAAGCTGACCTTATAATAAGCATATCTTGTTTCCTTATTCAATTATTTTACTACACATGCAAGTTAAAAAATTGGAGATACAAATTGTGTTTTCTAGTATTGGTGTTTCTTTGAATGCGATATAGGTCGCTCATCCAAACGGACCCATCATGCAGATCCTGCAATGTACCTATTTAATTTATCGTTAACTTGCTTACGTCCAGAAGATGCATGCTTGCCACTGGACGTTTATCAAACAGCTATTTATCAATCAGTATTTGGTTGTGACGCTGGTAAATATAATGTTATAAATGGCAGATCTGCATTTCGTTTAAAAGTTAAATGATTTGGCAAAACTTAATGATAGATGCCTATTTCGTCCAACATTTAAGTGTGATGCGTTGCATTAAATGACAGTTCATGTTTTTTTAAGAGTGTAGAAAGTGTGATGTGTGAAGAAGATTTTATACGTTTTATTAACTTGTGTCTCATTACTTTTGCATATTTAAGAAAATAAAATATGTTTAAAACAAGGATGATGCATCAAATGACAACGTATATTTGGCAAAACAATTTAGATTACTTTTTGCATTTACAGATAATTTGCTATTTGAATCAAATAGTGTCGTTTCAAAAATGTTGTTTCAAATGTATAACTAAGGTCTGTATTTGGCTTTTAGAAAATAAAATAAAGGGGGCAAAGAAATGCATAAACCGAAGAAGGATAAGCAACAAAAAGCAGTTGATGCGCAACCTGCCCCACTCGTCCTCTTGTAAACTAGTTGTTATTGAAAATCGAATGAACTGTGGTATGAAGATAACCGTTAATGCATTCTTAAGTGATGTCGTTATCCTTTGGAAATCACTAAAGAATTATTACATAATTATTAATCATACAAAAATGTTGACAGATGAAGCAAGGTTAATTTAATACGCCATTCATTGAAAGGCAAGTTGAGCAAAAAGGAAAATTGCTTAATACTTTTTTTAACAATAATACTTTCTTAAAATTCATTTTTTTTTTTTTTTTTTATAATTGTTCTATTGTGATTTTTCTAGGAAATATGATATAATATTCAGAGTTTTGCAGTAAAAGGGAAAATTTCAATTAATTGGTTTAGAATATAA